TTGTTGTTGTTATGTGCCATCGAGTCGGACCCGACTCATAGCGACCCCTCCTTGGGTTTCCGAGGCAGTATCACTACGGAAGTAGATTGCCCCATCTTCCTTCCGAGGAGTGGCTGGTGGGTTTGAACAGCCAGCCTTCTGGTTAGCAGTCAAGTGCCTTAGCCACTATACTACCAGAGTACTAGTGAAGAAGAAAAACAGTAGGAGGTCTTATACTTCCCAATCTCAAAACCACCACAGTCAAAACAGCCTGGTATCGGTACAATGACAGACACATAGATCAGCTGAATAGAATTGGAGACCCAGAAATAGATCCATCCACCTATGGAGAGCTGATCTTTGACAAAGGGCCAAAACCCATTAAATGGGGAAGATATAACGTCTTTAACAAGTGGTGCTGGTAAAACTGGATATCCATTTACAGAATAATGAAAGAAGATCCATACCTCACATCATACACAAAAACTAACTCCAGATAAAAGACTTAAATGTAAAACCTAAAACTATAAGGTTCAACAAAGAAAAACTAAGAGCAAATTTAGAGGCCATAATATATGGCATAAATAGACTATCAAACATAACCAAAAATGCAGAAACAGCAGAAAATAAACTAGATGACTGAAAGTATCATGGACTGGTAAGAGAACTAACAAATCTGTCCTGGAGGAAATGTAGCCATAACGCTTCTTGGAAGCGAGTTGGAGACAACTCGACAGCACCTAACAACAACCACAACAAACTAGATAACTGGGACCTTCTAAAAATTAAATTCTTATGCTCATCAAAACACTTCTATAACTGAGTAAAAAGAGAATCTATAGATTGGGAACAAATATTTGGCAATGACATAGCTGATAATGGACTCATCTAAGATGCAAGTATTGGTCTCTCCATGTATGGAGCAAAGAAGGGAGAAAATAATCAAAGATGCAGGCACTAGCGAACCATGGGAACTTCAGCCTACATGACCCTGAGATCAGAACTAGGTAGTGCTTGTCTACCACTGACAACCATTTGGAATGGGATCAAAATTGTGGATCCTGGAGAGAGTGGGAGAAAAACATGGAACTAAACTCAAAATCATAAATAACACCAGGCTTATTAGTCTGATAGAGACTGGTGGAACCCCTGAGACTACGGCCTCTAGTCACCATTTGGGCCTGGAATTGAACTCACTCCTGTGGCTTAACTTTCAGCCAAATAATAGATAGGCCCATAAGGCGAACAATTACACCAGGCAGGGGCACTCTTCAGAATAGTCAACCATGAGAAATCAGCAGGGCACCATATGTACAGGGAGAAAGCACAGAAGGCAGGAATGCAACAGAAAGAACACAGGGAAAAGGTAACTACAGAGAGGAAGTGGGAAAAGAATTGTGACAATGTGAGGACTGCAATCAATGACACGAAACAAAATAGGTATTAACTACTCGTGGTGTAGTGCCTAAGGCATTTGACTGCTAACCAGAAAGCTGGAGGTTCAAACCCACCAGCCACTCCTCAGAAGGAAGGTTGGGCAATCCGTAGTGATACTGGCTCAGAAACCCAAGGAGGGGTCACTTTAAGTTGGATCCGACTAGATGGCAGTGGGTTTGGTTTGGTATTTACTGAATAGAAAGTGAATTTGCTCTGCAAAACTTCACCCTAATAACAATAAAATTTTTTTTTTTAAATATTGGAAATGATACTTGAACATCATAAATTCAGTGTTCTCCACTGCAAAAAAAAAATAGCTTTGACTCATGTCACTTTAGTTTTGTGTATTTCATTGTATATAAATTATATTTCAATAAAATATATTTTAAATAAATAAATTCAGTGTTCTCATGGTAATACTTTAAAATTCAAAATAACATACTCTTGAAAAGATGAAAGTAAAATCACCAACCTGAAGGAAATTTTGTACAAGCTAAATACAGATTTTTTTTTTAATATACAATAACATGATTAATTTGGTAACACATAGGGTTAGGAAAAAACAGAAAGACCCTCAACAAAATGGACTGACACAGTGACTACAACAAAGGGCTGAAATATACCTGTTAAGAGAGGCCCACAACTGAGTAAAGTTTCATTACATTATACGTAAGGTCACTGTGAGTCGGAACTGACTTGATAGCATCCAACAACAACACTAAAGTGATATTTCTCTTTTAATCTATTACAGTAAATTGTATTGAATGATTTTATATGATGAACCAATTTGTATGCTACACCAACTCAAATAAATCCCACTTTGTTATAATGTATTATCCTTTTTACATATTGCTGGTTTTTATTTGTATTTTGTTATGAGGGATATTAGTCTATCGTTTTTTAGGGAGGGGATTCTTTCTTTTTCCTTGTAATTTCCTTTCCTGATTTGCTATGAGGATTATGGAAGCTTCATAAAATGAGTTAAGAAGTGCTTTCTTTTGTTTCTGAAAAAACAAAAGTGCAATATTAGCATTACTTTTTCCTGGAAAACTTGATAGAATTCATTAGTGAAGTTTTTTTGTGGTAAACTTTTAAATTATGAATTCAATTTCTTTAATGGACATATGACTTATAAAAATTTCTATTTCTTTCCGTATCAGACTGGATAAGTTTTGATTTTCAAGGAACATGTCCATTCCACTTTAGTTGTTAAATTTATTGCAAAAATTTTTAATAATATTTATTCATTATCATTTGAAGCCTGTTCAATCAGTAGTGATTCTCTCTCCTATGCCTGATATTGGTAATTTGTGTTTTCTCACTTACTCTTTTCTTAGAGTGATGGTTAATTTTAGGTGTCAACTTGGCTAAATTATAGTGGTCAGTTGTTTGGTCAAACATTAAAATAGTTGTTACTATGAAGCAGCTACATGTATGTGACTGAATCAATTGGCCTTAAGTAAAGCAGACATCTTCCATAGTGTGGATGGGCCTGAACCAATCAGGTGAGGCCTTAAGAGTAAAAGGGAATTTCCATAAGGTGTATTCCACCTCCAGACTACAAACAGACATTTTGCCAGAATGCCTCTCACTCTTCTTCTTGTTGCCTAACCTACAGATTTGGAGACATGAAACTACAGAAATTGCTAGCCTTTCAATGAATCTATAAACTTGGGACACAAGACTGCAGAGATCACAAGCCCATCCACTGTCTAACCTACAGATTTTGGACTTGCCAACCCTCTCCAATTATGTGATCCAGTTCCTTAAAATAAACAAATTTCTCTTGTACATATACACAATCTGTCTGTCTACCTACCTATCTATCCATCCATCCATCTCATTGGTTCTGTTTCTCTAGAGAACCCTGATTATGACATTTGGTAAACCTTACTAAGAAACTATCAATTTCACTGATTTTGTCAAAGAACAGATTTTTTTAGCTCTGTTGATTTCCTTTGTTTAACTGTTTTCTATTTCATTGATTTCCAGTCTTATTTTTATTACATCATTCTTTTTACTTACTTTGATATAGTTTGTCTTTTTTTTTTTAATAGTGCAAAAACGGCAAGGAGGCCACATGTTCTGACCTCCTGTAATACAACGAGAGGAAGACAGGATTACCAGCAGTAATCCAAGGCCTATTACTGCAAGGCCAAACATGCTGCCTCCCTCCAGCCCTTTCACCAACCATTCCTCCCAAAACACCACCACTGCTCTCCTGGGTTCAATAATTCACTGCAGTGGCCACACAGAACTCACAGATTACGGTGTTTATTAGGGAAGCACCAGGCTATAACTTAAGTTCAGGAAGAACGCTCAGTCTCTCTCCCAGCCCACCGTCCCTCAGCCAAGAGTCTCTCACAGTCTCTTTCCCAGCAGTGCTGGTCCCTCGGTGTCTCACTCAGCAATGCGTGTCTCAGGAGCCCGTGTCTCTTTCAGCAGCACATCTTCCTCAACCAGCAGTCCGAGAGAGTTCTGCCTCCAGGAGGCCTCCTTTTGAGCCCAGCAGGGTGGTCAAACTAGCCAACTATAGCATCAGAACTCTAAGCACCTGAGAGAGAGTGGGCACCTCCCAGAACATTGTTTTGTGCCACTCCCAACAGAAATACTCCAGGTGGACACCTTAAGCAATCAGGAGCTCCTCAGTTGCTCATAGAAAATCCCACCTTGGAGTTTACAAAGACTTACGGGTAGAAAAGCCACACAAAGTAATTTACTACACTGCAAAGAGCATGCAAGCTTACAGCTTCCTTCTATTCTAATCTAGGTATTTAAATAGAAATTTTCCTCTAAGGACTACTTTAGCAGCATCTCAAAATTTTGTTATGTTGTACTTTCAGAATCATTCTATTCAAAATATTTTCTAATTCTCTTTGTGATTACTTTGACCCACGGGTTTTTAGAAATGAGTTGTTTAATTTCCAAATAGTTGGATATATTTCTGGATATCTTATTGTTATTGATTTAATATCAGTATAATCAGAGAACATATTTTGCATAATCTGCCCATCTATTTCTGTTCTCTAGCTACGTATTATATAATTTAAAAGCTGAAACAGCCAAATAATCTTCTAATAACTGGTCCAACAAAACTAGGTTATGAATTTTAACTTTACAGTAGACAGTAGGATGCTTGTTCTAATACCTCAATATTCAGTGTCTCTACTCCACATTTTCTGTCATTTTTATTAGACTAGTTATATTAACGAAGATTAAGCCAGACGTCAACAATTTAATAAAATTAAAGAAGCTTAAAAAGGAAGAAAATGTATTCAATTTCAAATAAGCTATCTTGATACTATTAAAAAGAAAACACATTTTCTAAACACAATGGTAAAAGATATCATATATGGGAGAAATCACTATTGAGTCATAGGCTTCCAAAGACAAATGTTATCTAGAAACAAACAAACCTACACATACACACACGTGCATGCATGCACACACAAAGAAAATCATGTAGCTGCTATATCTCCAATATAATTTAATTCTAGAATGTTTTCTACCAAAGCATTTATGGACAGCTAAGGAATTTGATTCCAAATATCAATACTTCCTCTCATTTCATGAGATGCTCTTACCTTAAAGTACATTCCATTTCCGTTTCAGAGTGTGTAGAGAAAACACAGAAAATATATTTGTCAACTAACAAAGAAAAACTATCTCCAGGATTCAACCAGCGCCATAGATTTCTCTTCAATGGTAATAGCGGACTCTTCTCAGAAGACTTATAAAAACATGGATTTGTGTGTATCTAACAAATAGAAAAGAATAAAATGATGCTGTAACTCAGAATTATGACAAAAATACAACTAAGTAAGAACTGATTCAAATGTTTATATCAAAACCATTTAAGTTGGTATACAGACTTGAAAGTTTAATATACCAGCACTTACAAGCACCATAATTATTATTTATACATAAAAAACTCTCTTATTTCTCTAAGAATCAAAGAAAAAACAAACTTATCAATTAATCGATTAAATGTACATTCTTCCATTTTGTTTAATACAGAGACAACTGAACATAGGAAAGAGAAACATTAAAAATAATCCTTAGTCTGGAAACTGAATCCTCAACTTTTATATCAAAAATTCACTAATTCCCTGAAAATGATTTGATTCTTTTTAACTTACTTCCTCTGAAGAATTTCTTACTATGATTAAAAAGTGAGAAACTGTAGGAAGTGAGATTTTGAACAAATCTCCCAAGCAAACAACACAGCTTTCTAGCTATTTGTAGAGAGATCATTTGTTTCATTGAAACACCCACTATGAAGATAATCATCTATATTCAAATTGCAAGGAGTAAATATATGTCAAAGTCAAAATTATTAAATCTACTATTTTGTATATGTTTGCCATTGATTACCTCCATGTAAGCAAAGATAATGACAACTCTCCATAACTAAGCCTATTGAAAGGCACCTTAAAATCATAAGTAGAATCAAGTGAAATTCATCATTTCCAAAGGTCACATAGCCTTTTTGACACTGATATCTCTTGACTTGTAAAACAAATAGGCTTTAGTGTATGACAACAGCAATCTACATTAATGCACACCTTGGACTTTTTATTAGAATCTAACATAGAGCAACTTCCCCATCATCCTTCCATCTACTTCATTAGTTAAATGAGATTTTTCTGGAGCATCAATAATGTCTCCAGCACAGCAAGGGAATTACCACCCTGAGATTGGACAAATGCAGCAGATTCCCAGATTTTCTAGTTACACTTAATTAACATACTTTAAGACATTCCTCTGGCCTACCTGTATTTTCATAATTCAAAATCATTTCTGATTCCAACTATTTACAATATCTGTAGGTGTTAAGATATATTTTATTCACCTTGAGTTTGAATGACAAAACGCATTATGAATGAAAGGATAAAACCTTCTGTTCCTACTGTAAAAATATTCATTATGAAAAAGTTGAGCAAATTTGTAAAAGGCCTATTTTTAATGTGGATAATTTGAATGTACAATGTGAAATTCTAGAAATGTGTCAGCACTTCTACTTTCTTTCACCCCTAATAAATTTCTTTTTATTAGGAGGCTTTGTTAGAATTATATTAAATATAATTTAATTTATATTATTAGTTAGTTTCATTTTTTTAAATCTTAAGCTTAGTGGAATATAAACTAAATAGAGTATACACAAGTCTAGAATACTATTATAATACATGATCCAAAAATGTTACTAACTTTGGTAGGCTACTTTGGATTATCATTTGTTTTTAAACATTACACACATAATCTACACAATAAAATAAAATTTTTTAGAAGTAAATTTTTTCAAAACTTCCTGGTACCAAGTACCTTGCCTTTAAAAATTCCAAGAAATTCATAAAGTAACTTTACTTCTCATTTCACAAATACTCCTACTCAAAGGTAGAACATGCTCTCCCTCGATCAAATACCATAACATAATACTTTTAAACTAACCACAGAATTTTAGAATTATGGAATTTTAAAAGACATCTAGAACAATATATTTAATCAAGGGTGGAGCGGTGGCATATAGAATTATGAATATTAAAACAAAAGCTGTCATAAAATGAGCTCTGTTACCCATATAGCCAAATCAAAAAAATATCTTTCAGAGCTACAATAAATATAATCTACATAGTTCTTCCGACAACTTCTGCCATTTGAAATTGATGAAGCATGCAATAAAAATGCACTGATAACTATTGCTGATTGAAATCGGAAAGCTGAGAACGAAGAAGGATCAGAAAATGGCTTTGGTAACAGAAACAACATCAGAGATAGTACAACAGAATTTTGCAAGAATAACAACTTATTTACTGCAAATACCTTTCCTCAACAACAAAAACGGTAAGTATACACGTGGCCCTAGCCAGATGGAATACACAGGAATCAAATCAACTATGTCTGTAGACAGTAACAATGTAGAAGCTCAATATTATCAGTCAGAACAAGGCTAGGTGCTGATTGTGGAACAGACTATCAACCACTAACATGCAAGTTCAACTTGAAGCTGGAGAAAGGTAAAACAAGTCCACAAGATCCAAAGTATGAATTTGAACATATTCCACACCTGAATTTAGAGACCACCTCAAGAATAGATTTGATGCACTGAACACTAATTATCAAAGACCAGATGTGTTATGGGAAGACATCAAGGGCATCATAGAAAGAAGAAAGAAAAAGGTCATAGAAGAAAGCAAAAGGTCATTAAAAAGACAGGAAAGAAAAAAACAAAACGGATATCAAATGAGACTCTGAAACTTGCTCTGATGTTCTTGATGAAATAAAAGAGCTGAACAGAAAATTTCAAAGGGCAGCTCAAAAATAAAAAGTATTACAAATGAATGTGCAAAGACATGGAGTTAGAAAACCAAAAGAAAAGAACACGCTCAGTATTTTTCAAGCTGAAAGAAGTGAAGAAAAAAAATTCAAGCCTCAAGTGGCAATACTAAAAGATTCTTTCTACACACACAATATTGAATGGCAGAGAAAGCATCAAAAGAACAATGAAGGAACACACAGTCACTATACCAAAAAGAACTGGTCACCATTTCAGAAGGTAGCATATGATCAAGAACTAATGGTACTAAAGAAAGAAGTCCAAGCTGCCCTTTGAAATTAATGGAATATCAATTGAAAGGTTTCAACAAACAGATACAACACTGGAAATGCTCACTCATTTATGCCAAGAAATCTGGAAGACAGCTAGCTGGCCAGCTGACTGAAAGAGAGCCATAACTGTGCCCATTCCAAAGAAAGGTGATCCAACAGAATACAAAAATTATCTAAAAATATCATTAATATCATATGCAAACAAAATTTTGCTGAATATAATTTTAAAAATGGCTATAGCTATACGTCGACAGGAATGTGCCAAAAATTAAAGCTGGATTCAGAAAAGGATGTGAAATGAGGGATATCAGTGCTGATGTTGTGAGTCTGAGAGCTCTAGTAGCCTCCAGGAAAATCTTTAACCAGAAACCTTTTAGTGTCAGCATTACTAACAGAACTTTTGGACTCTTTAGGGCCTTTATCTGCCCTCTAGTCTCAGCAGGTATCAAGGAACTTCCTCCGAACTCAGCACGCATCACAAAAGCCATCCGGATTCAGCACGTATCGGAGATTTGTTGGGCTCCTGAAAGTCTCCCACATACCTGAGCCTCCATCCTCCCTAGATAATATTT